GTGGATGACGGACTGGTTGGGTAAACCTGAAAAGTGAATAACAGAAGCGAGCAGCAGACAAAAGTCGAAAAAGGAGAAGGGAAATACCCCGCAGATGCACATCATTGACCATGATACATGTGGGTGAGTTCATTGTACTGACTACAAAAGTTACTTGAAGAGGTATCCACAACCTACTGTCTAGAGGTAAGCTTATGGGGAAGAGGATGAGGGTGCATACGAAAGTAGTGGAAACTAAACTGAAGCTGAAGATGTCACTGTGGAATAAAGAGAATGGAAGATTTCGGACCAGGTATTTACTTATGTGTAGTAGACCTATGTACAAAAACTTAGTGAAGTTATAAACGTCTGAGTAGAATTCATGCTTCTTGCTGTAATGGTAACCACACATTTTACAGTCATGAGGGAGGGATGATCATGATGTTGCCTGTTGAGTGTTACCATATCAGGACCTTAGAGACAATATGGTGGTGCATGGCGAGCTGAGCTAGTAGTCCTGGAGGAACTTTTTGGTAACCTCATTCTTTTTACTATTATTTTGTCGTCATAAGAAGAGAAGCCGTAGGTTTCGCAAGGATACCGCCGCAGAGGCAAGGGAAGTTCACGTTTATCTGCTAACCATCATGCCTCTTGGTCGGTTATTTTCAGCAATACTGGGTAGTTATCAGTCCAAACAAGTGCCTCTTTGGGGTACCTTCTTTAGAGTTTTTGAGACATTACATAGACGCCCAAGGTATAAAACCTCCTAGCGATAAAACTGGTGCCCTCTTGCAATACACTGGACCCGATTCGACAAAGAAACTATGCCGTTTTCTTGGCATGCTCAACTTCTGCCTGCGTTTCATCCCATACCACGCCTCAATTCTCCAGCCTTTGACGGATTTGCTATAGGGCAACCAAAAGAATTTCCGTTTCACTGACGAAGCACGCCAAGCTTTCCATAGCGCCAAAAAAGCATTATCACAGGTAGCCATGCTTTCACATTTGAATCCGAACCCAGAAGCACGCTTGACCCTCTGCACAGATGCTTCCCAATCTGCAATTGGAGACGTCCTTCAACAAAAGCTCGATGATAAGATGCTTCCACTTGCTTTGTTTTCCAAGAAGCTAGAGCCACCCCAAACAAGATACAGTACCTTCAGAAGGGAAGTCCTATCCGTCATCTGCTACAAGGGCGTGATTTCACCATCCTCACCGACCACAAACCATGATTCTATGCGTTTCGAACGGCACTGGATAGGTTTCGCCAAGAAAAGCAAGACAAATAGGTCACATCTCGCAGTTTTCTACGGATATCCAGTTCGTCAAGGGTAATGCTAACGTTGTCGCCGATCCCTTGTCTCGCACTTACCTCATGCAGCCAGGTTGAAAAGACTGGAGAGAAGAGAGGGCGATGGAGGCGTGCTACAGCTCACATAAAACGACCTGAAAACTTCCATCTTTCCGACGTCCCTGTCATATTCATTATCATTATCCTCAGACCCACTCTCAGTTCCTCCACCCATCAGACACAAATATTTTCACAATAACTTGTGACCCGACCTAGGTAATTTGCAAAATGTCGCGTTGTCACATATGCAGAAGTTGCGAAGAAACCATCGGCCCTGCCGGCAGCGCCTTGGTTTCTTTACACTCTCCGTCTACAAACTAAAAAAAGGAAAAGTCAACAAACAACCACATCCCCAATAGTTATTCTTAAGAACGCAGAAATTACTTCTCATTCGGCAGAGGAAGTGGGACCGAAGACAAATAAACCTCAAAAGATGAACAAGAATGTTCATAGTTTGCCTTATTCATCTGAAAGGAATTGAATATTGGAACCGATTGAAACCCTTTAAATGGCTACATTTCAATTTGTGATTGTTAGCGGGCTTGGTATCAGGCTGGGAATTATTTCAAACGTCAACATAAAAGATCGCTCAGTGAGAAACCGTCTCAGTCTTTCTTTACAGTTACTGTGTTGGTTATAATGTGATGAATTATGGTGATTATTTTCCTTTGAAAAATGTTTGTGGCATCTTCCTCAGCCAACACTTAATTCTGGCGCACTTTGTAAGTTCTGGGCAAACACCTCGAGATTTAACTTCACCTTGGAATGAGAAGACGCACAAAACTCTCTGAAATTTCCCCACCTTCTTGAAAGTGTCAAAAGTTACCAAGTACGCCCAGAGACCTGAAATTTGGTAAGCGCGCCCGAAGTAGGTTCGAGCTAAAATATGAAGTTAACAAAGTGCACCAGAAGTAAATGCTGCCAGGGTTATTGGTTCTCTGATGCAGAAAATTGCTAATCATCAGAGTTCTTGAAGTTAGGAGAATCAAACATAGGCATTTATTATGAGTTGCTTGAACGTCGACCGCAATCGATTGGTTTGGAGTGCACTGCAGTGAACCCTCCAATTAACCGCATGTCACTTCCGTTTTTAGGATATGCATGTTAGACCATGTAAAGACTGACTTTCAGAAACAAAAAACCGTCGTTATGGTTTGCTTGTTACTATTATTATTATTGTCAATATTATTTTTCCCTTGGGTTCCTAGTGGAACATAAGGCTTCAGTAGCACGCCTCCATTGCACTCTCTTCTCTCCAGTCTTTTCAACCTGGCTCCACGACTGCCCACAAGCTTTCATTTCTTCCTCACACCATCTCCATGTCACCCTAGCAGGTCCCTTCAGGTTCCACTCTAGGGCCTGGCGCGATGTCCCCAAATGGTCTCCTCAGTGCATGCCCAATCCAATCCATCTCCACTTTCTTCTGCATATTTGTTGGGTGGTGGGTTCTTGGTTGGTTTGTTGCCGGCCAGCCAGAGCCTCTTGCTGGTTATTCCTACTATTCCGGCCATCCGATCTTCAGTATCGAGAGTAGGCAGCTGTTGATGAATGTCTGTGGTTTGTTGGGAGTGCTTTTCGTAACGCGCCAAGTCCCTAGACTATCGCATAGAAGCACTGTTTCGACATTGGTGTTGAAAATCCGGATCTTGTCCACCCTTCATGCTGAGTGCAGTAGATCCCCACACTGATTTCAGGTTGACGAGGGCCCTTCTTGCTGTTTTTCCGACCCTGGTTTTGACATCCTCGTCTGTGCCGCCTGTAGTTGAGACGATGCTGCCATGCTTAGGTAGGCGTAGGTGAAAGAGACTACTTACTTTAGCTCCCTCCCGCTAATGGTGATTGATGCTTGTTGTTGGTTGGGCATCTTCATCACCTTTTAGGAATTGTCCTGGTACCAGCTTGACAAACACAGGCGTCAATCACTAATTATTAGAACCCGTCACGTACCCACGAATAGGAGACCAAGAAAAAACACAATGGCATAGTCGGACGGGTTGGTATATTTGCGAGGTCGAGCCAAGATACTGATGCCTTCTAGCTAACTGGCTAGAGGATCGATTACGAGCAGTGCAACATAACACGACAACGTCCCAAACGGCGTGGATGCCTGACCAGGTGCTTTCAGCTTGGCGAGTTCAGTTAAACTGTGAGGGTCAGCATCAATGTTGAATCTCGTCGAACCCTAGGCCACTGACTACCATTCTATACTCTTTTCTATGGTGACACGTAGCGTAGCGTTGCAGTTTAATCCGCGCATGATTTGTTCTTGCTGAAACCAGCCAGGCTCCTCTGGTCGTAATTTTGAATCCAGTGCATCTTTTAGTCTCTGCTGGATGATGCGGCATAATGTTTTGTTTGCTTTGGGTGGACAGCAGCATGATTCCTCGCCAGTTGCAAAAACTTGAGTCTCCCTTCTTCAGGAGTTAGACAAGGTAGCCCTTCCAATCAATTGGCAGGTATCTGTCCTTCCTTCCAAACTTTCTGAAGTAGTGGTATGAGAATGTCTACTGATGTATCTACATCTGATTTCATGGATTCTGGCGGGATTCCATCTGGTACTGCTGCTTTCCCGGATTTCGGCAATTTTACGGCCCTCTCTGAATTTCTGTTGTTGCATAAGAGCCCGTGTTCTGGTAGTTCTGCCGTTGCTGGAGGTATTTCTGGACGAGTTGCAGGTGGTGGTCGATTCAAGAGCTTATTGAAGTGGTCAACCCATTGTTTCCTTTGTTTCTCCTCTTTGGTAACCAGCTTTCCTTCACTGTCTGTCATTGGTTCCGTCTGCATTGGTCTCTTCCCAGAGAGTAACCTGGTTATTCGATATAATGTTGTCAGGTCTCCCCTACCGGCAGCGTGTCCTGCCTATCTTACCAATGTGTCATAGAAGTGTCTTTTGTCTTTCCGTCCACTCTTCACTTCTTTGTCCAGTAAAGTGTTTTATGTGTTGTACTCAGTCCCTATTTTCCTTGTTTGTCCCTACTTTGCACTGGTTCATCTTCTCCCTCACCATCTTCCTCTCTTCTATCAGCTTCCATGTATCCGTCAATATCCATTCCTTGTCTTGTTTCCTCTTCCTTCCTAGTACGGTTTACACAGCTTTCAAAGAGTTCCGGCGTTCTTCCACACAGATTTCTTCAGAGACACCGCTTAATATCTCCCATTCTTGATGACTGACTGACATGAAGATGCCCTTTGTAGTTTCGTCCTTCAGTTTCTGTTCTGGGTGTTGAACTTGAACTGTGGTCTATCACCGACTTCTTTCAAGGCTTTCAACTTGATTTGGAAGGCTCCTCGCACAAGATCGTGGTCCAAACCTGCATCTGTCCCCCTTCTTGATCTTCTGTCGAGTAGGCTGCGTTTCCACTTTCTTGAGATTGAGATGAAGCCGGTCTGATTTTTAGTGTGTCCATCTGATGAGGTCCATGTCGCTCGCCTTGTGAATATCCTTGTGTTTGTGCACACCGCCTCCAATCACTAAATCGTTGAATGCGCGGAAATCTGCAAACAATTCTCCGTTCTCATTCATTTCACCGAGTGCTTCTCGACTCGTGATGAGTTCTCTTCCTGTGTTGTCCACCCCCAGTTTGGCATTCATGTCATCCATTAGAGTTTGGATATTGCCAACTGGAGTCTTGTCCGGTACTGCTTGCAGTTGCCTGTAGAATTCCTCCTCTTAATCTGCACTAATTGTAGGCGCATAGCGTAGCACTATGATTGTGACTTTCCTTCCTTTTGAGTTGAATCTTGTTGTCATGTTCCTAGAGGAGACTGGTTCCCATCTCCTGAGAGCCTCCGATGTCCTTGAAGACATCATGATAGCCACTCCCTTCGTGTGCTCGTGGTTGTCGTCAGGGTGACTGGAGTAGATTACTGACTCCGGTTGACAGTTTGGAGAGTCCACTTCCGTTGCGTCTGCTTTCGCGGACTCCAAACACTTGTTTGCTATACCTTATCTCTTTTGCAACTTGAGCAGCCTTGCTAGCTTCATACATGGTGCGGACATTCCATGTCCCCACGTTTACTTTCGCTTTCATCGGGAGAAGACACATCGGCTGACTGGCTTCCCGAAGGCTTTCACCAACCGGCGTCATTTTCTCTCTCCGATTTCAGCGAAGAATATGTTCGTCTTTATTTTTTATATTTTCTTTGTGCTTTGAGGTTTCTTTAGCGATTGAATTAGTTTTATGGGGTAGGGTTGCTAGCCCTATGCCCAACCTTCCCTGTTTATCCGGGCCTAGGACCGACTAGTACCTAGTGAACTAGTTAACCAGTCGAGGTGGTTCGCTGTTTATAGAAGATGGAAGTTCGAATTTCGGGGAATGATCTCGATGACTGCTGTTACACTAGAATCGAAAAGTCGTGCACCCCTGAGATTTTTAATTAGAAAGCAATGGGATAGTTGACTTTTTCAACCAGAGTGGAAGTAAATTCAACGTTTTGTAGAGCTGGCTCTGTGGTACTGTATTTTCGGCGACATTACGTACCTTCCATGTTCTCGATCCTGCTAGCATTTTTAGTTTTCTGAGAGTACTCAACCATTAGTTGGTATCTCACACCACTTAACAATACATGGGCAAGTAATAGTAACACTTCATCATACTTGATGTTGATTGATGATAAACGATACTTACGAAGTAACTTATTGGATGCGTTAAATAATGCAGATGGCCAATCTAATAAGGGCAATAATTAATTCAATCGACTTTGCATATTGTAAGATGATTTTAAATAACAGCGAAGGACAGTGAAAGTATTTGTATGTGTAACAGTAATGCAGTAAAATACTAGTAGTAGCCCAACAGATGTCGCAGTTTGTTTGTGTAGGACCTCTGTGAGAAATATAGGAGATAAAATTCGTTGATGTGCTATGTTGACACCAATCATGATACATGGAGACAGTCATGGACGCTTTTACGTTTCGTTAAAATATCATCCCTGTACTCCATAAATCCCTTTCTATTGGTAGACATGCATTGGTGAACTTGTCCTTGATTAAAGTAAGAGGGAAGTTGGTGAATAAAATATGTCCTGTTAAGCAACCGGGGAAGGAAAGTAGGCAGTGGGCATTTTTAACGGGAGAGCCTTTACATACGAGGTTTCTGCATGAAATTATTTAATATATGCATATATCTGCTGGACAACTGCTTTACTCTCATCAGCTGTCAAAACCAATGGCTGATCGACGAAGTAAGAACCTCAAGGAATAAAATGGCTAAAGTGAGGCAAGATAACTTCGTATATAATCGTACAAAGTTCTGATATTGTGTGGACATTGCATTAGGTTTAGTTTTGCAATCGACTGTGTTTTCTTGTATGCGTACATTTGCTTATGCCATACTGGTTAACCTGATCAGAAGCATATGCTATGTTCTCTGGTGGCCCAAACCAACCATCCTGAAGAACCAGTGGCTGTGAAGACAACTTAGCCTACAGTACAGTTTTGTCCGACAGAAAATCTTTGTTTAGACAAAACAATCTACTTCACATCGGTGGTTCATACTTTATTTTTCATTTACTTTTTATTTATTTATTTATTTTATTACTAAGCCTTTAACTACTTGTTGGGAATGAAATCTGTATAATAAGTTAACGCAAGATAGTTACGCTGGTTGTTTCAGCTGGGCATTACAACTCCCTAATTTCTATTCCATATCGATTCAAAACTTACGGCTCACTTAGGGATGGAAAGTATCTCCCATGAAATTATCGAATGTCCCTAAGTCCCCTTGAATTTGCTTCCTTAAGATGTCAAAAGTAACAAAGTCCCTGAAGTCTCTGGTGCGCTCGAAGTTCACGAAGAAGCATTTTACTTCCATTTAAAGAATCATGCTTTAAAATATTCTTCGGTATACCATTCATGTCTTGTATATGTATGTATGTCTTGTATATTCAAACTGACGATTCAACGTTTGACAGAAAATAGTGGAAAATTCGGAGTATCACCCCAAAGTTCGACAATATGGCTAAAACTTGTGGTGGTTGGGGTGGAAGCAGTACGCGGAACCTTTCAAGTGACCGCATTCCATTTTCTTCTCTAAGTTACAGAAGTTGGTCAACACTCGTCCCATTTTCACCGTACAGGCTTCTAGAGAGAACTTTTTGAGCTGGTTGCGTGAGGCAAACGCATGCATTACATCTAAGAATTCCTAGTGCAATGACCTATAATCATATTATGGGGTGGGATAGGGTCATCATCAAGATCAGCATAGGATCAGGCATTACTGCGTAGTGGCCCGAGTTGCCACACTTCGTATCATCACATCAAGTAACGAGGCAATAAAATGGTAGGTGAAGGAGAAGAAAATCGTTCAAGGAAAGTGAACTCAGAAGTAGAAATTAGTAAAAGAGAGGAAGTAAGAATAAGAAGATAACGAGGTTAAGTATAGTGGTTAAGATGAAGGTAAAATGTGTATACATCTGCGCTTCTGATATAGGTTCTGAGCCATATAACCTAGAGTCTCCAACCACTGGTTTTTCTTGTCCTACGGACCCCAACCGGCTGGTCTGCCTCGCCCTACATAGGTCAAGCGAACAGTCAACGACTTCAAGCAATGATGCCATGTTTTAGTCTGGCCACCCCGAGCCATTTTCCAGCCTGAACCTAATTCAGCCTACCTTGTGCTACGGGGTATAGGGTGATAAGGCATGCATAACATATGTCCAAGCCATCTGGGTCGATGAAGGTTCACAACCTCATCGACTGACTTTCCTCTCCTGTCTAGAATTCCACGCTTAATGTCTACGTGACAGACACGTGGTAACACAGCTTATGCTACGAAGGGGATTGTGGTGGGTCACCTGAAGCCTTCTCATGTTTTCCGTCTTTATTGGTTATATTTTACAGCTGTATAGGGGGGAAAGCTGCTACGCAGTAACATTATTGACTTTATGCTAACTGGTAGCAGCGACCAGGTAAGATCAAGTAAATAATGGGATTCATCTCTTGAATGTATGTTTTACAAACAATGCAATGGAAACTCAGAGTGTTGGAGGTTTTACTAAGATCCATCAACTTTGAAAGAGGCCTCGGATGTTACAAACTCCCACGAGCAGTTTTAAGAGATTGCGGACGATGTCTGGTTGATTCGAACCGTGTGAGTGTAGGGAACCAGAGAAGCTTCAGGTGACAATCTGCTAGTTAAAACCAGACTTATCATAGTAGGACATGCTAGCGGTTGGTGAGGTTTGAATAGGCTTTGTGTACCACTTGAAGCGTGTAAGCGGTTGGTACTTTGTGGCCACTTACCATGTGGACTTTTCTCGGAATGGTTGAAGGGAAAAAGTATCTGTTTTGTGGGTGATAGTCGGGCTGCATATCAAAAGAACCCAATGAGCTATACCACTGAAACGCTTGTTTTCTCAAAGTTCTACCATGCCAGAAACGTCACTTGGAAAAAAGCAGTGTAAATTGCTACTCTATGATAGGAGTCCTACGGTGAGGTCTTACTGGTATCCGGACGAGTATGTGACAGCATCAAGGCGCTTCCCTATGGGGAGAGGTTAGAAACTCGGTCGTAAAAACAGAACAGCCCATGCTGCCACACGGCAAACCAGTGCCGGGGGTATGAGCTCATGGTCGGTTTCGAAACTAACAAAAAATGTCTCAAACTCCTAAAAGCGCCGTATGTGACTGACTTCAAGCAGATATCCTTTGGGCTCTGTAATCGCACAGTAATCCCTATTCTTCAGGTACCTATAGTAGAACTAGTCTTCCACGGTGTGGGCAGCTGGGAAGTGTCAACTGCATGCACACTTTCAATCACTCACAACCTTGTCATCAAGGCCGATAGCTACTATCTTGATGTGGTGGTGGAGCTTGCATATCACAATGACCCAACGAGCTATGCTGGTAGAACGCTTGTTCCATCGGGGCCCTATCGTTCCGGAAACGTTTGCTGGATAGTGGTAAGATAGATAAAAAGCGGTTACCGTTGTAGTGTAC